CAACCCCGAGACCGAAGCAAGTCCCGAAGCCCGAAGATCCCGAGAAGAAAAGAGTTTCCGAGCCGAAGCTCTGCCCGCGAGAAACTAGGTGTGTGAAGTGATCCCGGTTTTCACCGAAGAATACTACTTCTACAAGTCGTAGTGTTGTCCGGTCATCTTCTGATCAAGTAAGTGTATAGTCACTTTCATCTTACACATTGATATTAAGTATTTTATATAATACGTGCTATGTATATATATATATATATATATATATATATATATATATATATATTGTTATTTATATGTGTAAGTGTATAGTCACTTTCATCTTACACATAGATATGAAGTATTTTATAAAATGCGTGCTATGTGTATAATATAAATTTGTTTATATGTGTGAGTGTGTGTTCACTTTCTTCTATATATATATATATATATATATATATATATATATATATATATATATATATATATATATATATATATATCTTAAGTATTTGCTATGAAATACATGTTATGTGTTTATATATTGTTGTTTATTTGAGATGAGTGCGGAATGGATGTTTTATATAGGTGTTAAATGAGTTAATATGTATATGTATTTTATATCTATAAATATGTTGGGTAGAACATGGGTAGATGAATTAGATGATGTGTGATGATAGTTAGGCGATGAGAATTAGGTGATGATAATTAGGTGATGATAATTAGGTGATGAGAAATAGGTGATGATAGAAAGGTGATGATAGATAGATGATGATAATTAGGTGATGTGAGATGAGAGGAGATACCATAACCTTGACCGACGATGTGGTAATTTAGCGATGTAGTCATCTACCAGAGTATAGATGGCGACCACAGGCTATTCTAGATGACCCCGTGGAAACACCAGCAGGCTTATAACCTGTATGTGATGAATTACGAGTCCAGACTATGTTGTGGCTACGTATTCATGCGATGATACTCTAACCCTTACTATGAATTACGAGTCCAGGCGATGTTGTGGCTACGTATTTATGCGATGATAGACTAACCCTTACTATGAATTACGAGTCCAGGCGATGTTGTGGCTACGTATTCATGCGATGATAGTCTAACCCTTATTATGATTTCCGAGTCCAGGTGATGTTGTGGCTGCGTAATCATGCGATGATACCCTAACCCTTACTAGACATATATTGAGGGAGTGATCCCTAAATTAGTATTGTCTATGCAATGTAGGCGATGATCCTTAGGAAAAGTTCTTAGGAACAAGCATATAAGGATATAAGATGTAAGGAGATGAGCGGTAAATATGATATAGGAGATAACCCTTAGGATAATATCTTTAGGGAAGATTAAAAGAAGATATTGGGGATGGGTAATTGGGTTGATTGTTTGATAATTAAATATAATAATTATATTATTGTGGGTTGAAAACCCTATATGGTCACAAGGCTCCCAAGCCTGACCCACTCAGTTTAATTGTATCACAGGTATCGATACGAAGCTGCTTTGCACTGAGAGATTAAAGGAGATGTAAATCACTAGAGTAAATGAATGTATGTTCTGTTTATGCTTATGTGTCTGTATTGGAACATGACATCCCGAGGTTTTATTATTTAATGAAAATACATTCTCTTTGAGAAATGTTTTGATAAGTTTTTATCATATCTTGTTTTGGGAACAAATTCCGCAACCGTTTTCTTTAAACGATTACTGTGATTTATAAAACAAAGCATAAACAAATCGGTTTTTTCTGGTCAGGAAATTGGGATGTCACAATTATAAAGCCCTTGTTCTAAGTAAATTGAATGATTCAATGCTAAACCAAAGAAATAAACCAACAATTGCTCATTCAAGTACCAAGCTCATGATCAAAGTATTAAACAAGCATAAGAAATATGAACTAGAATCATAAACATAAGATAAATGATAATTAAGCATGAATCCTTCAAAATCCCACAAATATCCAAGGGTTTTAGCCAAAGTTAAGCAAAATAGAGAAACTAACCACTCATGGCAACAAAATAACAATCACAAAAGTATAATTGCATTAAGAAACTAACAATTACTTAGAAAGATGAGAAGAATGAGTATCAAGCTCCAAAATCGCCTCTAATGGTATCCAATGGTGGAAAATCAAAGTGTGTCTAAAAGATCCAACCCTCCAAGGTAAATGGTAAACAAAATTTCCAAAATGCCCAAAAGTGTGCAATTACAAGGGTACCTACGCAAGTGTTGCGCGACTGAGATTCCACCCTCGCAAGTGTTGTTGGAATGCTATTGGTCCATTCTTCTCCACTACCCAAGATTCCCTTGGTCCCTTCCATGACTCACATGATTTGAATTTGGCAAATCACCTTCAAGCTTTAAATATGGATAGTCCATGCCCAAAATAAGAATCCATGAACCATCTTCAAAATCCCACTTCATCCAAATCTTCAACTTTTTAAGCCCAAATCTCCTTTGATGGATCCGTAAAGCCCACTAATGCATCGAAAAGTCCACCAAGACCAATTCTTGTCAAACAGCAACCGCAATGAGCTCCAAAACCCTACAAAATATCTCATGCAAAATAGAAAGTACCCGACGAGATCCATGATAAAGAAAATAAAGAATATATAATGCAATATTAATAAAAAGAGCTAAAAATACTAAAATAAACTAATAAAAATAAGGAAATAAAATAAGCTATCAGACCCTCAGGCCCCAATCAAACAATAACAGACAATAAGATCCTCATCGCAACCCTCGACCTAAGCTTCTAATAGCCTATGAACATTAAGCATGATGACACCTTATGGAACACCAACACAAACTGCAATTAAAACAATCTGCATGGAACTTCGTCAACTGAAAACGACCCTAAGGCAATCCGCATGGAATTTGATGGGTTATGATATTAACCCTTAAATCAAAATTAACTTTCTTCGATTCTTAACAACACTACAATGTTACTTGAGTTTCCTTTATCTTTACAAAAAACAATCGACATCTCTCGGGTATCTCCCTACTCTTCCACCACGAATCAACATTTGATGTTATATTTTGTTCAAATTTATCTTTCTTTCTACTCCCCAATCGAGTTGATTGGTTAAACTTGTTGAAATATGTGTCTGACCAATGTTTTATAATGTATTATTTCATTTTGTCTCATATGAACCCTCGTATCTTTCTTATAGTGTATCCATTTATGAACCCTTATATATTTCTTATATTGACATTTATTTTTTCAACTTAACCATTACAAGTTTGTTATGATGAAATAGAATGATTCAGTGTAAACCATTAAGAGGTGTTTGGTAACATTTTTGAACGAATCCCCGGAATGAGAAAAATTATAAGTTTAACCTTCTAACAATTAAAGCTTCAAAGATCAACATATCAACCAATATTAGAAGGCAAATCATTGCCAAGTGTTAGCTTCTTATTAACTTTGCCACGTGTCCATTTCTAAGCATTTTAGACTTAAATCTTCTTCCACTTTTCAATTTCTTATTTTTTCCATTTTCATTTAATTTCCACAACATTATAATAATTAGAATGATTGATGCGATTAGCTAAAATCAAGGTAGGATCAAATGAATAATTTCCTAAACAATAATTATTCCAATCATCATTGGGCGTACAAGTGTATTTGTTTTGGAATGAAATCATTCCTCATAACAATTCCAATCTTGAATATATATATATATATATATATATATATATATATATTATATATATATATATATATATATATGATCTGATGTTTTGTTAAATGTTTGTTAGTGGTGTAGCCAGGATTTTTTTTTAGAATAAACCAAATAATATATAAAATATGAAAGAGTGACAAAATTCTTTAATCCTGATTCCTTTTATTTAACAAAAATATATATTGTACATACAATATATATATATATATATATATATATATATATATATATATATATATATATATATATATATATATATATATATATATATAACCTTAATTTTTTGTGAGTGGGCCAATGCCCACTCTTGCCCTATATTGGCTACGCCTCTAATGTTTGTCCTTTCTCCAACTTCAATTCATCGGTGAATTTGTGTCAACTGTATAATTAGGTAATACTCTGCTCCCATTGCTGCGAAATATAAACTTGAAAATGTATTTTTCTTCTGTGAAGTCTGTGTCACAATGCTAAATTTATACTTGACAGTATGTTGTTTTCTGTGAATTTTATGTTTTCTGGATATTGTACAGGAACAAATCTATTTGGTTGTAAACATTTTATATTCTAGAAAGTATATTGATTTCTCTTTCATTTAACCAAATAAATAAAAACTTGAAATCAGACTATAAGCCACGTCTGTTTAAGTGCATGGGCATAAATGTCAATTTGGTAAAGGTTGCTTTAAATGGCAATGCAATTAAAAAAAATTACAAACCTTTATGTATAATCTTAATAATATCATGTGTGATGAAAGTTTATTCAAAAAAATTACCGTCGTCAAAAAAAGTCGTTGTGGTCATAGAACATCATATTTTTATTTTATTTTTTATAATTTATGTATTACAACCAAAAGAATTGTACAATATTGTAAATCTGGGTAAAGGGCATTTCGTCCTTTTAGCCTAAATTTGTTTTTCTCTGATTATGAAATGGTTTTTATCACCCTAGCTTAATGAATCAGACCAAACTAATATCTTTTTATGTTTGTGTTATCTTTAAATATCATCATCTCTTGGAACGATGAACCAATTTATTTGGTTGTAAACATTTTATAGTCTATAAAGTATATTGCCAGGGGTATAATTGTCAATTATATATATATATGGTCATTAAACTTGAAATGACATTCTACTTAAAACAAGATTTTTTACAAACTTTCATGTCAACCGAATCATTTATTTGATTGTTGAAAGGGTTTCAGACAAACATTGGTGGCAAAAGGAAGGGTAGTGCCTACAAAGCCTTGATAAAATCAAAAGTCAAAACCTCAAATCGGCTTTTCAGTTTTGATTTCCATAAATATAATAATTAAATCAGAAGGAATCGAACATAAAGACATACATGTTTAAGAATTGTTAAGAGTAATCAGTAATCACTACCAGTGGCTTTTTCAAAACCTTGACAAAACCATCACGGCATTAGTCAACAAAAGCCATACTTTACAGTAAGAAAGTCAAACATATGGAGTTGACTTTTACAAAAGTCAACATTGACCATTATGACCATGACAAGAAAAGGACAAAATATATACTAGCCACAAAACAATGCAACACAATGATATAGATAGAATTCACTAAGAAAAAAAATTCTCAAATAACACACCAACACATGAACACTAGGATAAAAATGGAACGACAATCCTTTTTTTCGTTCCTAAGAAGATAAAAAGTCATATCATGTTATCAAATAAACAATACGTGTCCATGTGAACAAGATTTAACAGATCATAACTCATAACCAACATTTTTCAAACATCCAAATTCTTTACAAATTCTTCCAACCGAGAGTTGAAACTGCATGAGCAAATAATTAAACTTTATCAAATTTTTGGATATTAAGAAGCAAAAAAAATAATAATAAAAGAGAGAGAGAGAGAGAGAGAGAGAGAGAGAGAGAGAGAGAGAGAGAGAGAAAGAGACCTTTAAAGTGCCATTTCAGCCTGCAATGCAGCGAGTTCATCTTCCTCAGCTGTGTTGTGGCGGGGAGGTGGACGTGTTGATTGTCTGCCTGCAGGTACATGGAGTGGAGCTGCAGGTGCGGTGGTGGCAGGCTGTAGCAGCTGTTCTTCCAGCTCAGCTCCTTCTAATTCTTCAAGTTCAGCCTCCAACTCATCCTGCATATTTATACAATCAATATTTTTTTTTCTCTCAAAATTATATTCAATATAATTCTTTATAAAAGAGTACCTCATCAAAATCAGCTGCTGCACCAATAGGTGTTGACAATGCTTCCTGAATTTGTTTCATGTTCTCTGTTTGCTCATTTATCTCATCCATTGTCTTGTCCACGTCATCAATATTCCTGCATCACAAAAAATCAAAAATCAAAAAACATATATATATTAATGGTGTTTCTTTTTGACTTCTTATATTATTATATACACAATAATAGATTTTGAAACTTACACAGCCTTTTGCATTGCCTTCATTGCTTGAGCTCCAGTTCTCAAGGCATCCACTGTCTCTGTTGTAGCTTTTGCACCTTCAAGCATTATCATCTGGTGTCCATGGACAAACATTAATTAATTAAGAATAACTGTTAGTGAAAATATAAAACATAAATGTAAAATTGATGATACAAAAATTTAAAAGGCACCTGATCATGAATACGTAGTTGAAAATTGCCAAGCTGTTCAATTTGTTGTTCATAAAGTCTTTTTCGCTTCAGACACTGTATTGCAGCTGAATAATTCCATAATGAGAAACAACATAATTAGTATAATTTTAATTTTCAAACAATAGCCAAATTAGGGTATAAAACTTTGAGATCTTAATTAATACCCCTTTTGTTTTTGGCTCTAGTGAACTCCTTTGCCTTTTCAACCTCAGCACCAGCTTTCTTCAGAAGCACTTTTTCTTTCTTCTCTAGCATTTCAAGTGTCTGCAGAAATATTTAATAAATTCAATACAAGAGAAAAAAAAAAAGGGGGGAAAACATTAGGGTCATTCCATACTTGAATACAACAGTCATTCCCTTAAAGAATCAAGAAAAGCATTTCTCATTTTCTCTTCAATCACAAGTCACTAATTCACAGATCTGATGAAGATACATTCACCATATGTGCAAGCAATGAAAAATTGTTATCAAACAAAGTAAGAACGAACATAAAAACAACATAGCACAAGTCATTCTTCTCCTTAGTGAAGGATTAGCTTCTGATACCAATTAGCTAGAGCATGGCAAAAAGGGTATGCTTATTTACTAAAATTAAGTAGCTTTAAACAGGATGAAGTATATTAGATAGTTAACATCTTATGTAAAGCCCATAGCTTGTAAGATTATAGTCTTATACAAATCCTTCAGCAACCAAATACGAGAAACAGATCCAAGGGATGCAGAAAACCATGAACTAAATGCAAGACGAACCCTAGAAACATCAGATAGACTAGCAGAAAGCAATCTGAAAACTACTACAAAAATCAATGCTTCCAACAAACGTTAACGAGCAGATGAGAATGTCAAGATAAAAAAAAGCAAACAGATTTCGACAATTAACAAAGAAATAGTCAAAATTCTCAAAGTTCGCAAGAGATTACCTCATTTAGTTTGTCTAACGTCGTTACGGCGTTAGCTTCTTGCTTAGGTTTGCCAAACATTCGAGCAAACATTGTTAACTATTTTTACTTGAAACCCCTGCGATCTGATCCGATCAAAAGCAAGAAACTCGAATTACTAAAATCGCACAATCGTTTGATCGGTGAGCAAACAAACATATATACAACAAAAGTCAAAGTAACAAACAATCGTTACCTGAGAATTGACAAGTGTGAGTGATTACCCTAATAATCAAGTGATACTTCTTAACCTGTGTGGAAGGTTTGTGAGATAAAAACACTGAAGCAAATCGAAATTGAAAGGATTTATATTGAAACCGAGGAGGGTTTTGAAACGATGATGAAGATTGAATGAATCTATAATAGAATCCAATTGGAGGGGGGATTTTCTTAGGCTTAATGGTTACCTCAAATGTCGATATACACGCTTTACTTAATAACGTGTTTGGGGGGTTCGGAGAGGGGGTAACTTATGAAAGGATATTGATAAAATAAATTTAATAATAATATCAAACTCTTTGTATTTTGTTTTAAAAAGTTTCTCATTTTTTTAAATAGGTTTAGGCTAATACGGAATCGGGGTAACTCACGTGTTAGATCTTACGTGCCAAACCAACCCACGTGTGGACACGGTCTCTAACTTCAATGGGTTGGTTGTGAAGTGGTAGCTAAGACGGATGAAGACGAGGAAGTTGATTGGCTAATATTTTTTACCGTTTCCTTTTTCTTTTGTCATTGGCTAATCATTATTTAATCTAATGTAAAAAAAAAACAATAAAAAGATAAATAATATTGAATGATAACAATTTCCAAAGGCAAGTGGCTTGATAATGAGCTTATAATGGAGTTGATGTGATGTTGAATTAGCATCATTTTTTTAGTTGGTTGAACATGACCATTCCTCATAGCTTTAGGAACATAAACTTAGAATCAACTCGGGATTAAAACTTGTAATAAGTGATAATTGATGATGTTGATTTTTTTAAACCAACCAGCATTTTAAATTTATAATATTTTTGGCATCGAATACCATATTAAAACATATTTTACATTGAAAGACTCTCCTACAAATCGCGTATGCCTCAAAAGATATTCATGCCACATCGACCCACATGTGCTTACCAGTAGTGAAATAATGTCGCCAACCCCTACGACTAACTGACCCCGAGCTGGAATACAACTTGATCTTGGGGTTCCAAGCCTACTCACTCCTTCGAGCTCGAAAAACTAAAATTGCACAATCCTTGCCCCATAAAACGACATTCCAGTCCTATCAATTAACCATTCTACTTCCAGTTGCATAACTCCAGCTGAACATAATCATCACTCCCTTCCAGAGTCCCTACGACTCACACTCCGGCCTATAGCAAAACCCCTGAGGCCTCGAATTCAGAAACTCCCGTGCTAGCCTCTCCCGCTCAACCTGCAGAATGTAGCGAGTACAAGACATCTCCTTGATCCCAAGTAAATCCAATCCTCTGCTCATCAGAATATGTCCTAGTAACAAGTCCCGGTACTGGAAAGCTCGACCAAGTCCTACCCCTTGTCGTCGTTACAGCTGTTGCAGCTGATGCGACAGTCGTCTCAACAAGGACTACGTAGCACTCATCGAAATGCTCAACCATGGTGGTCTTAATAGACCCAAACATCTCCGGAAATTGTTCCCGAACAATCTCAATCACCTCCTCCCGGATGATCTCACTGACATGACCCTCTGACAATACTGGCCTATCCTGGCTGCTAGCTCCCCGATCCTGACCCAGATCCGATCTCCAAACGTCTTGTAACCATCATTCTGATAATACACCAGAAATATCTATGATAACCCACATAAATAACAGGGATCCAACTCCCAACTAAACCCTAGGGGCCCATACTACATTCCACACCTACCCATATTTGTCTTAAGTATGGGTTTGGTGCTTTTAGTAGTACAGGCTCATACTACATTCCACACCTACCCATATTTGTCTTAAGTATCCTCACAACGCCCTAACAATATACATAACATGGCGAGCACTCAATCCTCGCTCCAAGAGGAAGGCTAACTACCTCAAAACTGGCGGATTCATCCCAAACACCCATCCATGAAACTTCCACCAACCTGCAGCACTCGTGTATGCTAACCATACATAACGATGGACCCTATAGACTTTCGAGTACCTAATCCTACCCTAAGCCCTTCATCAAACAAGAACAGGAAATAAGGCAAAACCAAACATTCTCAGGCTATAAGATCTTAATTATGTACAACCGTGATGCATACACAAGCAACTACAATAATGATGTCAATTTCATATAAGAAAACTCTAGGCTATCAGGCATCATGTAATCAGACAATTCTATCATGTAGTTCCTGAAGATCCCTAGTCTAGTACTAGCATGTTGTTCTAACATATCACAATATCAAATAACTGTGTGGTATTTTGGTGTCTACTTACTGGCTCCGGCTTATCGTACACTTTGCATCCTCCTTTAAAAAAAAAAAAAAAAGTTAAGTCAAGGTCCACATTCCCGATCCCAAGCCAACAATCAAACAAGAACATGACAAGAGATCGAACCCATTCCCTTAACCCAACTCTTTTTATTATAATTTCTTTAAAAAACAGTTTGCAAAAACCCTCAGATCCTAGTTTGAGACTGGATTCACACAGGTGTTTATCCAATTCACTCAAACTAGGGCTATGATACCAACTTGTAATACCCATAAAATCAAACCAATTTAGGACTTTTTCAAACATTCAAAAGCCATTAGTTATTAGAAAATATTTTCAAAATAGTTTAATATCAGAGTCTCCCTGAAACATAGTCATAAAATGTGAGCAGATGTACGATCACACATTTACCTTCCCGCGATCATCAGATGTACCTGAAACAAAAACTGAAGTTGTAAGCCCAAAGCTTAGTGAGTTCCCCCAAAATACCGATACATAACAACAATACACATAATAACATGTAATGGGTCCACAACTATACAGACTGGATTACCCCCTGAGCCCACAGTGTGAGTCTGGCTTGCCTTCCGGGCCTACAACTCACATCTGGCTTGCCTATGAGCCCACATCATAAGTCTAGTTTGCTCTCAAGCCCACAACTTATGACTGGCTTTCCCCCTACAGTCCTAAGACTGAAATATAACTGATCAACCCTCAGTGCGAGTCTATCATGCTCCCCTGGTCCTCAGCCCGCAACTAGAATGCTCTAATACTCTTAATCCCTCAGTACGAGTCTGGTATACCACTCAGTCCTCAGCTCATACCTGGTATGCTAATGAGTCCTCAGTATGAGTCTGGTATGCCTTCCCAGACCTCAACTCATATCTGGCATACTCCAGGGTTTGTTGGTCACCACACAAAGCAGTGTAACCTCAACCCTACCCACACAACATGTCTATATATACAACTAATGACACATACAAATAATCAAACAGTAACACAGGTAGTCCTACATACCTACCCCAATTGCCATAACACTAGCATGCATAACTAACTCATACTCCACATATCACCAACTACTAGGATATCAAATCCAATGGGCCGACATTGATGCCTTAGACCCCTTAGTATAATGAGGATAACTCACCTGGCACTGCTGAAGTCCCGCGGATGAAACTCCAGCTGCTGGTTGGCAGATTCCCAAACTGTTAACATTAAACAACACCCAATTAATAATTAGGTTATAAGCTCAAGGTCCAACTCACACTCCAAAGGCCCGATAGTCACGTAATGGGCCAAAGTCCAACATAGGGCCTAAACCTCTATATGGTCTTTCCTTTAGGCCCATTCAATTATTCTAGTCCAAACTCTTGGTATTCCCATGACCAAACATCACATAATCATAAAGGCCCAGTTATGGTCCAGTTTTCCAAATTGGGCCCAAGTCCTTTACATGGGGTCTACCTAAAACTCATCCAGTTATCTTGGTCCATTTACTTATTCTTGGATAACCCATCAATAGTCTAATCACCAAAGCACAATAGAAAGGCCCAAGTGAAATTAGGGTTTCCACATGATATTGCAATTATGGTTAAGTGTTTCTTACTTAAACATTAAGGACTTAATCCATTCAGTCCAATATTTCCTTAGGTTAATTTGACAATGATTATTAATTAATATTTTAAGCTTACTAAATAATTCTCGTGCGTGTCCCGATCAATCCCCAAAATTAGGGTTTTCCAAACCCTAATTAGGGTTTCCAACCCAATACTAACCCATTAGTCACATGGTTGGGCTTTTAGGTCAATTAGGGCTTCATTGGGCCCATTAGGGTTTTATTATGCCCAATAGGGTTTTATTGGGCCCACTAGGGTTTCGTCATGCCCATTATATCCAAGGATCAAAATGAGTCAAAACGCAAACTAGGCACACCGCCAACCAACACGGCGGCTGGAGGCGGCAACCACCACCTCACGATGGTGGTTATATGTTTTCTATTATTATTTCGGCCGATTACAATACAGTTTACAATAATGTCTAAATAACACACACACACATAAAATAACACATACTCACACATACAATCACCCTAGTGGTGGCTGATGGTGGTACATGGCGGCAGCCACCACCTCACGGTGGTGGTGGCTTCCTTGGTTTTCCAGTCATACAAAACACCCACACCCACTTCAGATTGCAAAATACACTCCATCCATCCACCTGGTGGCTCACGGCGGTGATGGTGACACAAGAAAACAGGAAACAACAGTAATAGCTTTGTCATCGGTTGCATCCACCATGGCCGACGACCATGGTGGTTTGTCTTCGGTTTTTTTTGTTCATCGAGCATCCATATCACAATCAACAACCCAAAAAAACCCATGCTTGCGATACACTGGCTGAAGCACATACATCCATACCTAACAGCGGTAGTGAGCAGCGGTAGTTGTGGCTGGAACGTAACATCGTGAGACGGGCAACAATAGCAACTAACAACGACATAAGGTAGCGGTGGAACCGCCGTTGAAGTGGTAGCGGCTATGCAACAGAAAGGAGAGGCACAGAGGGTGGGCAACGCTGTACCCGAAGGCTCGAAGGTCACGAATCGATGACACCCACGACGCTAACTCCTTCTCCAGTCTTCAATTGATGCAACGCCCGATCCTGGTTTCCATCGATGTCCGTTATCGTCGATGACAGGAGCCGTTCGACGGTGCTAGGTGGTCGGAGCCGGTAGCGGCGCCGGAGATGGGTGAGGTGAGGGTGGCAGCTGCATAGAATATTAGGGTTAGGGTTTGAGGGGGCCGATGCATGGTGACATGTTTAATACCCGATCATCTCCAATTTTCCTTCAATGTACACCTTTGGCCCCTCATTCCAAATTCCTTTTCATTATAAGGCTATAATTTACAAATCACCCCCATCATCCAAGATTCATGACAATTCAAGTCCCAACAATTACCATATAGCCCCTCCATAACAAACTCTTTTCAACCTAGGTATATAATTTACCATTTTAACCCCAACCATCCAAAATCCTTTCATATTAAATCCAAATGATACCAAGCACCCCATGGCTTCTAAAATCCTTTGCAAAATAAATCTCGAAATTACACTTTAACCCTCGAAAGTGTAAAATATATCATTTGACTCCCCGAACCACTCTCCGCTAAATATTAATTGATTTTGGCCATAATTTAATAATAAAATTACATTTCGGGGTTCCATATTTATTATTTAATTACTCTATTTTAAACGGGATATTACACTTTTCAAAGGAAAGGAGCCGACTCGATCGCAACGCATCACACTATATTTTCCATACATGAGATCTTTGAGATTACACTATGATATTGTTTTATGATAATATGTTTTGATTATCGACACTTTGGTTTTGACATGAGATGTTATTATGGATGTTTTGTTATATACTTATAGTGTTGATTTTATAATAACTTAATTAAAATTGAAATTTTTTGTTTTGAATTTTAGAATGTTACATATACTGAAATAGATATTTTGTCTCTCGTCATAATATATTTTCATATTTACGTTTTTTTCTTTTAAAATTTTTTGATCTAACATTTTTTATCAATTATAGTTTTAAAATTAAATTATTGATATTTATTAAATTGTTACTATATTTTAAAGTTATGTTTATATAATTTTTTTATTAGGTACAAAGGAGTTTGCCACAACGATATGCAAGATGAATCAAATAGTAGTTAAGATTAACATTACAGCATTTAGATTTCTCCTTTTCACTATAAGCTATAAAGCTGGAGGGAGTGGTGCCACTGAAATCGCACTCACTCCCTCGCCACGTAAGCGCCACGTCACAGTTTACCACTTAAGTGTGGTTTCTTGCCACACCAAGGGTGTGGTGCCACAATTTTAGTTTTATTTTATTATTTTTTTTTTGGTTTTTTTTGTTAACTATTTTAATTTAATAAAACTTATTTTTTAATAAAAAAAAAACATAATTTTAAAAACATAATAGTTCATTAAATAAAAATATAAATACCATACATTGCCTAATTTTTTTTAAAAAAAAACCTAAAAATTTAGAAAAACAAAGTAGAAACAAAAAACCAACAACTTTAAAAAAAAAAAAAAAAAAAACACAAGAAACCATTAAAAAGTTGAAAAAAAAACTAGAAATTAGCCACGATTCATGTAACGGTTTTTCACTTCCTCCTTCATCGCCAAAACCACTTCAAGCTCTGCCCCGATCATATTCGACGTGTCCATTGCTAGTATTCGCATGTCGCTCTCCCTTTGTTTCCGAAGCTCTCTTTCAGAAGCAATTTTCAAAATCTTATCCATTCTCTCTTTTATATCCTTCATGTCGGTTCCCATTTCTTTCAAATCATCTGAATCCGACGCTTTGCCTTTGCCTTTGCTTTTTGATTTGTCTCTTCCCAATGGTCGGGAAGGTGGTGAAACTGGAACAGGTTCATCTTCGTTCAGATCAAACTGAACACGAGCATCTGATGTAGTGTGGTCGGACTCAGATGTTCTGCTGCGTTTTGACCCACTGTCGATATGTTGGTCAAATGTTTTGCTACTCAGCCATTTCCTGTTATCTTTCAAAAAATGCCAAACTTCCAGAAACTTGAAAGCCTTCAGATTTTCTTGTTGATACACTCTCAACGCTTTCTGCAAAATGACTTCATTGCTTTCTCCACTTTTCCATTGACGTTTCATGTTGTTCCACAAGTCATTAAACAACATGACTTCCTTGTTCATCTTCCCCCATTTGGAGTACACTTGATGTTTTGAACGGTATTCTCCACGGCTCATTCCTTTATGGAACCTGTGTAAAACACGAATCCAAAAGTGGTCATGCTTTTGGTCTTTTCCAACCGTCGCGTCTTCTGAAATATCGATCCAAGATTGTGCCAACACCAACGCTTCCAAAGGTTCCCAACATCTAGCCTCCGCCTTCTCTTTTCTTTTATTCGTTGCTCGAGTGGGCTGAGTTTCTGTAACGAATTATGGTTCAGAATCAGAAACGACCGTTTCTGGTTGTGTTTGTGTTTGTTGCACAAACTCGGGTTGGGACAAAAAATCAAATGGATTAAAATCCGGGTCGGGTTGTGGTAGTGGTGGTGTTTGTGGATGTGGTTGCCCTGGTCGTTGTGGAAAAGAAGGAAACATACCGCCATAGTGGTAATACGGAGGTGAAAAAATCGGTTGATCAAATGAAGGTATTGGGGTGTTGGTGTTTCTAACTGGTGTTTTTTCTTTGCTAGGTCTTTTGGAAGAAGACATTTTTTCAAAGAAAATTGGATAAAATGATTGTATTTTTATGTGTTTAAGGGTTGTGTGAATGTAAAAATGGTAACATATGTATATATAGATGGAGTAAAAGGTTAAAAAAGAAAAAAAAAAGATTTTTTTTTTTTGCATGGAACGAATCTTTGAACGGTCAAGGGGAAGAAACCAATTACTGCATGCGGTCTTCTAGGGCCGTAGTGCGGTCTCCACGGTTCGAAACCGCACCCTGGGGGCGGTGTTCATGTCCCACGTGGCATGAGTGCGGTTCCAAACCGCGTCCCACACCGAAGAGTCTAAGATCTTTTAACTTTTATCAAATGCTTGTTTACAAACCAATCCTTCCACATTCGTGCATTTGAAGAGAATTTAGATATCTTTTAAAATTTTCTTCCTATTTATATTTTTATTTATGTGAAATTATGCAAATGTTACCTTTTTATAAAATTAATAATATTTTATAACACTTTTATGAGGATAATTAGAAACAAAAATAAAAAAATATTTAATTTCTCTTTGAAGTTATATGAAAATAGTTTTTGAAGCAAGTATTATTAAACCTGGTTTGGTTTCTAATAAAACTCATAAAACAAACCGAATTTTGGTCATAGTTTTGTACAAAACCATATTAAGGGTTTGATACGGTTTGATATTAGGCTTTAATTAGGATGTTTATGTTAAAAATGTACACGAAAATAGATTATTAATTACGGATTTATGGTAGTGTTATGTGTAGGTGACGTGGATCCACTAGTACCAGTGATATGCTATTTTATGTCTGAACTTGCGTTAAAGATTCTGTTCTATCTTCAAAAATCTTGGGTCCACTTGTTTTGCACTTTTGCCATTTCTTTTATTCATATGACCTTTTCATGGAAAATTTGTAGTTAATTTCCATGTTTTTCCCCACCAAACACAATTGGTTTCTGTTGTTCATCTCGCTTTTTCACAATCGGTTCATCTGCTAGAGTCCTGGTTATTTGATTCTTGTTTATTTCATAACTTATGCTTGTGTCCATAATCGGGTCTATTTCAAAATCCATGATTTGTTGACAAGAAAACCTAATTTTGCTATTTCGGGTTTCGTGATTCTGTTCATCAGAAGTGGGGTTTGCTTCGATTCTGATCTCCGTCGAAGAAATCCCGTTTTTACCTGATTAGGTTTGTTTTGGGTTGGTGTCGCATCTTCAATTTGGGGGAAATTTTCACTGTCATCACTTCAATCAAACGTCCAACGTATTAGGGATTCCTGAGGAACCAATGCTCTTTTAAGTTAGGATCATTGTTTTCCGATCTGTAAGGTATCTCTCGCTCTATTTTGTACAATTTTTTTGTCAGATTTGGTACTTTCCAAATGCAAATTTAATACCAATTTAGGGTATTTCAAATCTTCACCGATATTGTTCCATCCGCCGTTCTTGTTACGAAATTCTATACATCTAGCATAAAACAGCTTCAAATCGATATCAATTTTGAGATTGAAAAGCAACCCCTTTCAATTTTTTCCTTTTTTTTTTTTTTTTTTTTTCCTGATTGTGTGGTTGAATTTTGAAGGGGAAAAAGAAAGATGAAGAGAGGGAAAGATGAAGAAAAAACCATGGGGCCAATGTTTCCAAGGCTTCATGTGAATGATACTGAAAAAGGAGGTCCACGAGCTCCTCCTAGAAACAAAATGGCTCTTTACGAACAGCTTAGTATACCTTCACAGAGGTTCAATGGCGGAGCGTTGCCCTTTAACCCTAATTCCACCGTCAACTCTGTTCCACCGTCATCTTCAACACCGGTGAGTTAATAAACACTTAACTTTTGCTTTAGTTTGAAGTAATTCATATCAATTTATGGTTATCTTATGATTTTAGGGCACCATGAATGAAAGGGCTACGTTTTCCCCACTTCAACAATCGTCTTCAATGCACCCAACCAGGATGATGACAGACAATCGCCATTCTGAACTCAACAATCAACGTGTCCAACAACAAGAACATAAAAGGAGACAAGAAGATGACGACTTTAGGGTTCCAATCTTTGATCAACAATCTGGAACAAGTCAAAATCATCAAAACAGAGAAAACGAAGGCATCACTCCATTTGGTGCAGCAGCCTTTTCAGGTCGTTTATCAAATGTTCAGAATGCTAGACAAATCATCAATAAACCTCAAAAAGAAAACTCTCAAGATTTTACTAGATCTGCCTCAAATCAACTGTCCAGGCAAAACCCTAAAGTTCCTTTGAAGGAGACGAACGAATCTTCAAATTATAGTCACAGACATGCTTCAAATAATGGGAATTTAAGGGATTACAGAGGTGGTGACTCACAAGCTGATAACACTTTGTGGGGTGACAGCGGTTTAAATGAAGCATCTAAAGCTAGTGGGTATGAGAATACTTCGGTTCCAGTAATGGAGGCTTTAAGAAGCCCTAATAATAATGATCCTACGAATGCTGATGCTGTTTCAGAGACGTCGATGGTGGATTCCATTTGTGGAGTCGATATTTCTCCTGATGATGTTGTAGGGATTATTGGTCAAAAACATTTTTGGAAAGCAAGAAGAGCTATTGTCAAGTAAGTTTTTTCAATTCAACCCCTTTAATTACATGTTCTCGACAATATCCTTCCTTAAATAAAAAAACTCATTCAAATTGCATCCCTTATCGGCTTATCCTCCTTTACAGCCAACAAAGAGTCTTTGCTGTTCAAGTGTTCGAGCTCCACAGATTGATAAAGGTATAATCTTTCGTTAATACCCCTGAAGTATTCCTGTTATTCACTATGGTCCCTGAAGTCTTAATTGTTTCATTCTTGTAATTAAAAACAGGTGCAGAGATTAATAGCTGAATCACCTCAACTTTTGTTTGAAGAAAACTTGTATTTATCAAAACCACCAAAAGTCACTCCAATCAAGAAAATTCCCATTGAATATGTTATAAAACCTAAAAACCAAAATGACGAAAACGCCCTTGCCCTCGAGAAGCCGAATGATGAGACAGAATTTTCAGCTGAAAATGCACCCGGGAAAGCGTCTTTATCCACCGTTCAAAATGGCAGTCAGACAACTTATTGCAGACCGTTTTCCGGCAACCCGTTACCGGTGCCGCCGCCACCTGCCGACATCGCCTCGTGGAATTACAATCCGCCACCTGGACACCAATGGTTGATTCCGGTCATGTCACCATCTGAAGGACTCGTGTACAAACCCTACCCGGGACCCGGGTTCATGAACCCGGTTTATGGTGGTTGTGGGCCCATGATGGGACCTAATTTCGGTAACTATGGTGTCCCCCATCCTTCTGATCATCATTATGAAGGTCCAACCGGGGTTCACCCTTTTGCACCTCCGGCTAGCCATGGCTACTTTCCATCTTACAACATGCCACCGGTCAACCCACCCGTCTCGACCCAGACCCAGACCCAAACCCTGACCCCGACCCAGACCCGGGTCAAGGTTAAAGCATGTAAAGATAGTGAGGTACAAGTGAGTACAGCAAGCAGTCGAAGTGACAAAACATGGAATCGAAACGCGCTTTCTCTTTTTCCGACGTCTCCTCCTCCGGCGGCACCTGTGGCAGCTCCGGCGGTGGCTCAGGTGGGAGTGGCGGAGGAGGCGCCTCGTGTTATTAGAGTTGTGCCTCATAACGCCAGGTCAGCAACTGCCTCTGTAGCACGGATTTTTCGGTCTATACAAGAGGAAAGAAAACAAGTATGATTCAGGTGGGATATGTTGGTGTTGTACTTTGTGCTTATTTTGTGGTAAGTTTTGGGTAAATGTGTTTATTTTTGGGGACGTTAAGTGATGTAATATGCGAAGATTTGGTGTTGTAAAAATGCTTGCTTTTGAAGATGTACACATGATGGAATGCAAATCAAAACTTAAGCATATGCAGTCATCTTTATCAGTTTATTGTATTAATATTATTTTTTGTATTGACGAATATTTTCATCTGCTTAACTGATAATGTTGGTAATTTTTATTGCATTATAGTCGGTACTCTTGATTATTTTCAAATTGAAAAAGAGAATGTGAATTGGATGATATAGAAGGTGAATCATGCATAACTACGTATAACACTACTTTAAAGTTTAGCCTCTTTAAGTATCTTCAAATCATACTTCACTCTTTTGTGTTCCAAAAAATCCCCCATTCTCTCATATCTTCACTAGAAAATAGATGGATATGAAATTGTGGGTAATTTTGTCATTTGGGATAATATATCTTTCTTGTTCTATAACTTGTGATGGAGTGGAGGGGGACTCTATTCCAAAAAGCAACCTTTTCAATACTACTACGACAAGAAAAACAACATTTTCCAAAAAGCAAGGTGTCAAAAGCATTTTGGTAAGCTATGTATAGTCCTTTTAGAACAATCTTTTGTTATTCTTAAAACTGATACAAATTACTTTTAATAAAAAAAATCTAAATGCCATATGTTTATTTTAAAAAATCCAAATACGATATGTTTACATTGTTGCATGGCTAAAAGATCTAAATTGAGTTTGTATTTGTATCATTTTGAACTTACATAGTTGACATACACAATGTGAAAATGTAGAGTGAAGACGGGGACATAATTGACTGTGTTGATATCTACAAGCAACCGGCTTTTAAACATCCAGCTTTAAAGAATCATACAATCCAGGTTTTTTTTCTACCTTTTTGCATGTTGAGACGAAATTAGAAACAAAATAACCAAAACATGCGTGGTATTTTGCTAGATGACACCGACAAACGATTTAAATATTGAGAAAAGTATGATGAAAAAAACATTTAAAGATATGAAAAAGGAAGACAATGGGATGATAATAACATCACAACTTTGGCAAAAAAGTGGAAGTTGTCCAAAAGGAACAATTCCAATTCGTAGAGTTCATAAGCGTTTTCTCAATGTCCATGGTTATGGGAGAAAGAGACCTAATGAATCGAAGAATCAAACAACGATATTGAAGGACCCAAGGAACTCTTTGGCAAATCATTCGGTTTGTATTCCAACTTCAACTAAATTCTATTGGTTGTCTTTGCTATATGATATTTAAGTTTCTTGAGTAAATTATATTTTGATCTTTGTATATAGCTAAATTTTACAATTTTGGTAAAAATATAGTCATTTAAACTAGAAAAAGGGATAAAAAAGCGTTACATAAATCTTATATAAAGACTAAAATTGCAACTAATTCCTTTTGAGACCACAGTTAAAAACACACAACTATACTTTGAGACCAAAAATATATTTTACTGAAATTTTTGTGTTGTCGTTTAGGTCTTGGATTTAACTTTATAAGATGCTTTTCATAAAATTATATTTCATTTCAAACATTTTTGTTGTTATAAAAGAGAACTTTTTTTTGAAATCATATATGTTTTTTTTATATGATTAGGTGGCACTTGTACTCACACAGGGATACAGTTACTCAGGGGCCAAAACCGATATCAAAGTGTGGATTCCTTACGTTGAGAAGGAAGATGAGTATAGTACTTCTCATGTTCTTATTCAAAATGGTGATGTCGATGATTTTGAAATTGTTGAAACCGGATGGGCTGTAAGATTTTTTTTTTTCTTTTGTTTATTTTAGAACTTGTTAAGTGTTATTTTCGTTATTTCATTAAATATCTAAAATAATATAAGCTTTTTTTTTTTTTTTTTGATGATTTTGAAATAGTTATGTTTACAAAATCCTTATATTCTTTTCAGGTGAATCCAAGTGTTTATGGTGATCACGAAACTCGCTTATATGTCTATTGGACAGTAAGTTTTTTTTTTTTTTTTTTCATCATATATATTTATTTTTGTGAAATTCGTAATTAATAGTTTATTTGTGCATGATAATGTGCATATACCATATAGTCATGTAACGATTCATCTACATAGACCAATTTATATATTTGTTTGCTTTTCTTTTACAAGAGGAAATTTTGATTTTTGAATATATACAATATCACTTATTTTTAAAGTTTAACAGGCCGATGGATCAATTAAAACAGGTTGTTTTGACATGACGTGTCCAGGATTCGTTCAAGTGAGCCACGAAGTAGCTCTTGGCGCAGCCATTTATCCTATCTCTAACTCCAAGGGCCTTCCCTACCAAATCACGGTTTACATTTACAAGGTCTCCACACTATTCCTTTTAGCAATTTTATAAAGGTAATATTCCAAATCACTGATTTTTTTGTCAACAAATAGGATCCAAAAACAAACAATTGGTGGGTTAACTATGGCGAGTCAATCAACATAGGGTATTGGCCCGGTGAGTTGTTTGTGTTTTTAAAGCACCATGGGCTCATGGTGAAGTGGGGTGGCGAGGTGTATAGCACCAGGGTCAAGACTCACCCGCACACAGCCACACAAATGGGCAACGGTTACACTCCTTCACCAATCTTTGAGAACTGTGGGACCATGAAACGTATGCGGGTCGAACAAAACTCAGAACCTTTGATGATACCCGAATGGTCCGACACCATTGTTGATGAATATCGTTGTTATGATATTTTATATGAAGTTGATTATGTTGATGATCCTATATTTTATTATGGTGGCCCTGGTAGAAGCCCATGGTGCCCATAACTGTTACAATCACAGACTGTTTGATAAAACTGAACCATTTGAGATTGTATCAAACCCACTAAGTGCTGAACGATTCAAAAATTGTGTTCATGTAGCAGTGTACTTTCTATTTTTTTTCCTTATTATATAGCATTGTACTTCCACACATTCAAATTCAATTAATAGCATACAATATTTGAGCAATTAAACTTTTTCCAACATCATGTAGACCATGCATACATGATTTGCATATCAAAGATTACACCATTACATACATAAACATACAACATATAACAACTTTTCGTGGTGGTGGACCTAATTAATTATAATGAGAAGCTTCGATCTCTATATACAAAGAAGCTATATCTATATATATTGTTAATACCACTAATATACCATATATATATTTCAACAAACATAATCATAAGAGATTAAAAGCCCACCCCCTTTTGTTTTCTTTATAAAATCAACCACCTTATGCAGTAAAACCGTTGGTTAGTGAACTCCAAGGGTTTGATGGGAATGTAGTGCATACTTGTGATGATGCATCAAGCATCTGTTGATTTGTGATTCCAGCGTTACATAAATTAGCAAATGACCTCATGTGTTTCATTCCATACTGTGATAGGGACCCACAATGCGTCTCAAATGTCCTTACGAATGTTTTAAGGCAGGTCCAGTCATCAACTAGAGGTGTTCCGGAAGATCGGATGGTGTTCAACACCTGAGGACCCTTTTCTAGTCCAAACAAAACCTTGGCGATGAGTTGTACACTGGTGTCTAAGTGTATTCTGTGTGACATGGCTTCAGAGAACTTTCTCTGAGCTTCCATTTTCCTTTCGGAACCTTCCGGAGCCTTCCGGAACTTATGCCAGAAATGTAAAAGATCAGCATCACGCTGGTTGACAGATTTAGGTGATTTATATATCGAGTTTTCTTCAGTAAAAGTGAAGTTTTCATTTGCTGGATTGGTGCCCATATATAAGTAGAGGTTATCTTTGCTAAGTGGTATGTCACCATATTGCATCACATGGGATCCATAATAAGAGTTGTCACTTGATGTTCTTTCTTTAACCTAAAATAAATAAATAAAAATGAATTAAGTTAAAAAAACTTCACCAAAGTGTATAAATTAGTAAATAACTTTACCAATTTATATTGCTGTCTGATAGTTTCTGTTCGCAGATTGTGTACATCACTGTAAGCAACAAGAGAGATAGAAAGAATTAGTTTTCTTTTAGTAAAAAGGGTATAATTGTAAATTTCAAAAACATACCAATCTTCCATCCAGGCAACACTGTACAAGTCACCAAGACACGTGTCATACTCTAGAGGTGGGCTAGGGTACTCCCCAGGACAGTAGGTACCCCAGCTGCTTTCATCAGGACCAGAGGCTGTGGTTGCATAGATATTTAAACCTTGTGGAAGAAGACCCTCGAATATACTTCCAGCCTCACAAGCTTCAAGGTAAAACACCTGAACATTTTTAAAAAATCAGGATTAATATCTATCAAAAGTATTATATTATTATACATAATATGAAAACAAAATTTTTTAAAAATTACCAAGCTTTTGTATGTTCCAGAAGCATGCTTTTGTTTCAAGACCTCATTAAGATCATTTGCATACATGTAAGGATTTGTTGGCATCCCTGAGAAAGAATACAAAATAATTTAATTTTAAGACACCAACCATTTACCTTTTTGCCCTTCTTTTATCCTCTCATGTTACAAGTTGGTTGTTAAAATGTAAGGGTAAAATAGTAACTTACCAAGAACACCAGGACCACCATGATCAGTGTAGTAAACAAAAATGCGATCATTTGGACCGCTATCTACAACCTTTCCACTTCCACCTTTGACTTTGGATTTATCACCGAGTAGAACAGCAAAAAAGTTGTCAACATTCACATCTTTCCCAGTGTAATCCTGTTTCATTTTAGTTTTTCAGTTATATTATGATCTCATAATATATATATATATATATATATATATATATATATATATATATATATATATATATATATATATATGATATAGTGAATGGATGATGATAAAAAAACAAACCTTGGGTACTCCATGATATACATCATCACCATCTGGGCTGTTGATTATGACACCTTGTCTGGGATTCTCTCTATTATATGCAATGTCATCATACATGAAAACAACAATGTTTTCTTCCTTCACGCCACCATTTCTCAAGATTTGATATGCATGACATACATCTGCCTGGAGTCGTTTAACATAAATAGAAAAGATTAAAATATGTAGACAAGTGAGACTTGTAATTTCTCAAGGAAAAATATAGAAAAGTGAAAGCTTCAATGAGGTCATCCTATTGCATACTGTAACAAACTAACTTTCTTGAACCACATAAAAGTTTTAGATATATTTAGTTGATCTTGTATAGAAGTTGACTTCACACAA